CTCTTACCTTGCATGCTGCCATTTCTTTCTCTGACCATGCATGCTGCCATTTCCTTCTCTTACCATGCATGCTTCCATTTCCTTCTCTTACCATGCATGCTGCCATTTCTTTCCTACCATGCATGCTACCATTTCCTTCTCTTACCATGCATGCTGCCATTTCTTTCCTACCATGCATGCTACCATTTCCTTCTCTTACCATGCATACTGCCATTTCCTTCTCTAGCTTACCATGCATGCTGCCATTTCCTTCTCTTACCATGCATGCTGCCATTTCCTTTTTTTTGCCATGTATGCTGGCTTTTCCTTCTCTTACTGCGTGTGCTGCTATTTTCTTCTTTTGCCATGGAAGCTGTCATTTCCTTCTTGCCATGCGGAAGACCTGTCTCAGGGTAATTGTTATACCACTGTTTTGTTTCACTATCTCAATTTAAGATGATTTTTAACATCACCTGGTTAAGCTGAAGTAACCTACTGATATTGCAATCAACCCCGTTGATGACTCCAATATGTAATTGATGAAACGATCATTATGCACTTTGTGAAAGATGGTCGCGCATCAGGTGACTGATGGTATTATTATCAATGTTGTATATCAATAACAGAAACTGTCAAAGGTCCTCACCATTTCCTGACTATCATCTGTGATTTTCGAGATCCTTTTTGTCTCTCACTGACAGGTTCAATGGCCAAGGCTTGCTGGAGTCCATAACCTGGCCCACAGGAGGAGGTGACCAGGCTTCGCTCCCTGATCACTGACTCCCACTCCATTGTGGAGATGACTTAGCCAGGCCAGGCTGACTTCATCAGCTTAACACTGCAGCACACCTGGCTGACAGAACAGACATTACTGTAAGGTGGGTGGGTAGAACCGTCGTTTCCGTCTCTTATAGTAATTTTTAATCTCACCTCGACGTAGCTTACAAGGTCACAGTAAGGTTCGGGAAAGAAAATTAGGATTGAACCTCAGAGTAAAATTTACCCACAGAGGGTTCATCAAAGGTTAGAAAAAGAAATTCCCAAATTTATTCCCTCCCAAGAAAAAAAAAATCCATTTTGGCCCCCTCATACCCCAAACAGCTTTGGTTCTGGATCTGCCCTTTGTGGAACTAGATAAGGTCCAACTGCATCAATGTGTAGATGTGTACTCAATAGTAAGCAGCACTGATGTCACAGAGGGACTGAGAAACCATTGACATGCCAAGCTGAGTATTGCCAGACATCAACTTGTGCACTGTATCTCCTTAACACTGCCGACATAGATGGCTATCACCATCCAATCATGCCATGACAGCCAGTTCATACTTCGGAATGGTGTCAGTGTCCAGCTGCAGAGTGACTCATCTCTGTCTACGGGGATGGGTTTGTGCTGTCGTGACTAAGTGCAAGTTTGCCCTGCCTGAGGACTTGGTCAACCGGCTGGACTGGCGATACTGCGGCTGGAGGGTTGACAAAGACAGGTAGACACTATTGGTGATTGTGCGTATGTCTTTCTTGCATTATCTTGTCACAATTCACTTTGACTGCACATTTTTATCCTTCAGTTCTTTCCATTCACTCCAAATTGAAGACATCCTACATCTTTTCACATTTCTTCAGGTTACCCTTGTTAGTCAGTTTTTACTCCGCTGAACTTGTCCAGTTTAATTTGGTGACTGTAGAATCTTGAATCCACCATAAGATTACAAAACAGTACTACTTGAGGTTTGAAAACTACCTTTTCCAAGCTACAAAGGACTTTTTTGATGTTCAGTGGAAATGATTTCATGTTCAAACCTTTTTTCTTTTTTTCCCTGAAGCTTCCCTGCCTTATTATTTTGAGCCCTCACTATCACTCATACTACATCCTTATTCATCTTGCTTTTTGGTTCTATCTCAAGCAGTTTTTTCTTGCAAAACGCTGAAAAAAATGTTACTTTCTTGTCATTTTCTAAACAGCACCACTTTGCCACTGACTCCAAGACCTCTATCCCACCTGTGAAGTTCAACAGTTGTCCCGCCCACATTAGAGGAACACGTCCTGCTGAGTCTAACCTGTAGCAAAATTCATACGAAGGTGTTTGGAACCATTGGAGAGACAACACAGAGACTTGTCTCTGTGGTAACTGGAGCAGAGATCCCGGACACTTTTTGGCATTTGCAGGATGGACGTGATGTACGGTATTTTGTGAAATCAAATGATGCAGAAGAAGACTTAGACACATTGGATTTGATTTCAGAAGTGGCAAGCTTGAACATGATCCTCAACGATGGAAGGATGGTAGTGGCAGCACATTCATCACCACAAGCAAACGTCACAATTATTACATTACAGACAGACTTCACAGCCTGGCACTTCCTTTACGGCATCACCATAGATGCTGCTAGAACTATGGTGCTAGCCCAGGCAAAGACGGTGGCCAATGCCCAGGCTTGGCAAAAGGAGAAAGTCAACATTTCAAACAGTTGGTGGGCCACAGAAATTGTCGCCATAGTAAAGTGTCGAAAAATAAAACATAAATGAGGGTTGCCTCACTTACACCACCATGTAACACTGCATGAGCTGTCTCATAAAATGACTGATTTTGCTACCATTTTTGTGTACAGTTTCTGCTGAAACAAGGAGATTCTTCTAAATGCATACTTATTCATGTGTTGTTACCTGTATAATCTGTTTTATTCCTTCATGATGAAAAGCTTAATCTGCTGAACCACCAACGTTGCTACAAATAACTTGCTTTTAATATTTGTCAGACATTACTCTATTTTTTTAATCATATTTCAGGAATTGTTACTTGTACATGTCTTGTCAATTGGTCATCAGTTTTCAATTAAAAAAGAACTTGATTGAAGTAAAATTAATGACTACATGTGTAATGTGTAGTTATAGCTTCTTTGATAGCAGGCATGACACGAAAAGAAACGCTTAAATGTTTATGAGATGTTCTGCAAGAAAGTGAAAAGGTTGGGATCCTGTACTTTGTGAAATTGCAAGGAAATAGGGAAAGAATAGTAGCTGATTGAGTTCTGCGCTGAGTATGGATATGGGAAAGCGTGTACATGTACAATGCTAACAGTTGGGGGGACATTGAAACTGTCATCGGCATGTTTTATTCATAAGAATATGTCTCCATTGTTCAGTGAGTTCATTCGAATCACCAGAGAGTTTCACGTTTCAGTGTTTAATTTAGTATTTTTTTTTTTAATATTTATTTGGCTTTGCATTGGGGATGTTAATTTCGTACACCATTTCTGAGAATTCAGTGTGATTATTTATATTTGTGTAAGGACAGAACTTAGTATAAAATTAGTTTAGTCTTAACTATATTCATCTATCTGTACAAGAGTTAACATGTATTTCACCTGTTAAATAGTCCAATTCATGCCTACAGTCACTGGAAGCATATCAACTACACATATTTTAGGATACATCAACATTTTTGCAAATCTTACATCATTTTTCAAGACAAAGTTTATGATTGCAAGACAGTTATTTTTGCAAAAGATTTCAAAACTGCCATAGATGAAACAGGTTTACTAAAAGACATCTATTATGAACAGCTTAGAATATAGATAAATTATATTTGGGCAAATGATACCTTTTGTTTGGAATAAAGTGCCTTTTGAACTACAAATACGCTTTGCTATAAATTGTTACCCTTTGTGGATAGTAAGATATCTGGTTGCAAGGAATGTGGTTTTTTTCATCGTGTATCTGTAATGGTGGCACAGATATGCAAATGAAGCATGGCTGTTTTCATAACTATGAAAAAATTTACATATGTCATATTTAAAGAGAAATGATACCCTACAGGTAGAGAAAGTGTTCACAATATGTATTTAAAGTTGCTCATGCATCACCATGTGTGAATCATTGCGCAAGTGATTTTGTGACGAACAGGATACGAAACAACGGGGAGAGAATTATGGGAACTTTTACTATTTCAACTCTTTGCTTTCAGTTTTCTGCTGTTTTGTGTGTGGCCACTTACATTCCCGAGAATATAAAAACAATTTTTCAAAAAGATTTCACAGGTAAACTTTGAAACCATTGATGGATGGCACCACTTCTTGCCAATATGTACTGGCAAGTTGATATCAATTGTTGATGCATATTTGATTGGGTCTAATCAATCCATGTTATAATGGCTGAAAAAAGTACCTTTAACATTCAGAGTTTAATTTCACAGCTATACTAACCGTGGAATTCTGCTCTTGCTACTGTTCTGTGATATACTATGCCAGCATCAGCATATTTTATGTCATTTCTTACTTACTCGACTGCGAATACACAGTCCCTATAATATAGTAATTAATCTACATGATAAGCAAACCATTGATACATAAATCTTCGCTATAGTGAGGGACAATTCTTTTCCATGTGATTAGCAATGCTGTAAAATTGGGCATTTACTTATTATGGCCTTTTCTTCACTCCTTTTTATTCCCAATTTGTATTTGTGTTTTCATGTTTAATACTATAAATGCTTTCTGAATGGCAGAGTTTATCCAGTTTTTCTTATGTTTTCTTTCGACTGCCCTTACTAATGTAGCCAAATTTAGCAGAATTTATGTAAGTTTCCTTATTTGTAATGTGATTGCCAGGTACGGTGGTGCTAATTCCACCTGTGTATATTGTGTTCTAAGTGAACAGCTTTATGATGTTAATATTCTTCGTTCACTGATATTTTCCCCAATTTTGATTTTTTTTCTTATTGTTTATTAGGCATGGCATGTTTGAAGTCTTGTCCAATTTTGAGAATAAATTATTGATTAAAGATAACTACAATGGAAAATTTTCTGTATTTCGTACTGTGCTGCAGTTTCTGCGAGCTCATATTTTTTTTGTCCACAACTGATCATCAGACATTAAAAAATGATTTGTTGCAACAACTCTTCATTGTCTAGCCAAGTAACTGATGCTTCCCATTCTTTCTCTTGTCTTAACTGTTTACATTCGGAATACATTTCTCAGTTTTTTCAATAAAATTTCTACAAAAATCAGGTGAATAATGCATATGCAAATTTTGGAAGGGAGTTCGGGGCGTTGAAGGAAGCTGATTGGTTTCTCTGCAGAAGGGGGGGGCAATTCTTTTGTTATTGAGCATTCTTAGGTGTGCTGTCTTGCATATCATTAAAAAGCACAAAAGAGTTATTGTAAGTTGGAATGCGCATTTCGAGCAGAATCTGTTGAGCAGCTCTGTGCGTGGTTCATCCGCCATTTTTGGCCCTCCGTTTTCAAGACCAGCGCTTCCAACTAGAACCACGTAGAACTTCACGAAAAATTTACTGAGTACTTGTCGCCGTTCTTATCTGAATTTCACTCTCCGAACTTGCTGGTGACAAGAGCTTGTAGAATGTATTCCCCCGGAAAGTTGCTCCATCTTACATGTGGAAACGACGGTCGACAAATGTTAGGCTTTACGTTACATTGCCTTTTCCATAAGTAGGCCTACTTCGTGTTTTACGAGGTAAGTTCCAAAGGTAAGTATGGTAAGTTACTTTACACGTTGTACTACCTGGCTCATATTTAGGTATATCATTTAGATATGAAAAAAGCAGATAGTTTATGAAATTAATTTTTAATACACAAGCGTGGTGTAACTGAGTGTATAAAGTATTGCATCAGGAGGAAAAGGTCAGAATTGAAAGAGATGCGACCCGGGCTTCAGTGAGAATTGATGTCTGAAAATGTTTGGAAAAGTGTAAGGGCTATATCAAAAATCTCAACCTGAATATTGGATGGAAAACTAAGTAAAACGCAAAGAATAAGATTGCCTCCTTCAAGTTGTATGCAATAATACATCCTGCAGTCAGTTATCTCTACATCCCACAGAAAGGCTGAAAAAATGTTAACTTTTATAGTTTATTATATGGATCCAGTTGGGACTACTGAAGGTTTTCTGTAAGTTCAGAGGAGCATTACCGTTACAAAGTGCAACACAGTCAAGTAAGCCTGAAGACGTGCAAGGACACATTGCAAATAGGCAGTTTGGGAAAAACTAAGTGGAATTTCATATATTAAATCTTAGGTTTCTTAAAACAATTAAAAGAATTACTTCCTGCAAAAAATGAAAGTTGACCCTGTTAATTTGATCGAAACATAGATTTGCATGCTCCTGACCATGCTTAAAAAGAGCAGAGCAGTAACTGCTCTTGCCCTTACAAATTCCTATTATTGACATGGTGTGGGCCTAAGTAACACAGTGCCAATTGATTTGAACATGCATTGCTTTTAACATGCGTTGCTTTATCAGCATCTTTAACCCTAACCATTCTGAATCCAACAAGCATATGCATGATTTTATTGGTCCATTTAAGAACGTCTTGCTGATTCTTGATTCCGAAGATGATGAAACTTCGTAGTTCCTCTCTTGTGTTGAGTTTACATCAGTTTACATCATTGTATTTCTGTCACAGTTTGCATGCAAATAGAACATGGAATTGTTTCAGTGATTAATCTTGTGGTGTCTGACAGTCACAAAGAAACTTTTTGCTTTTTGCCTCGTGTTCACTGTATCGTGTTGACATGTACAATTTTTTAGAGTCAATTTAAACATGCTGAACAAATTTTGAGACCTCAAAATTCAAATTTTGTTATTGCAATTGTAAGTAACTATTGATAACTCCTTGACTCTGTAGAAAACCAGGTTGGATCAGAGTCACCTTCCATAAACTCTAATTGTGTTTTCTTTTTGTTTAATGAAATCCAAATCTCGAAAGAATTCCATTTATGGATGCCACTTGATGCCCTGTACACAATCCACATGAGACTGGTCTGGAAAATTCCGACTACTTCAATATTTTCACTGCTCATTTTGACTTTTTAGGAAATGTTATTGCTTTTGTATGATTAATAGGTCACTGCAGGGAAAATTAGTGGTTTCCTAATATGGAATATACTTTCCCCAAAGCCAAATCTCGGTCGGTTCAACTGGAATTGAGATGTTGTTTCCATACCATATTTTGGGTGCTGTTTTTAGACATGGATTGTAAGCACCCAATAGCAAGTTTATGACTAAAATTCGTCATTAATCCTAACAGTCCACAATCCCCCAATGGATGAAGGTTTGGGGACTGATTAAAAATTGAAAAAAGAATGCCATCACTTTTAAGGAAGGAAATGTACACACTGAAAAATTGCCTGGGTTAAATTTCAACCCATGGAAGGGTGAAAACTGCAACTACCCAAACATGTGCTGTTAACTCAATTTTGGGAGGAGAATTACTTTTGTTTCATTTTTCACTCGCAAAATGAGTGGATATCAACTACTGTTTGGTGAAAAGAAACCAGAAATATATTTCAATCACCCAAATTTGGTTGAAACGACCTACACTATTGTGTAGTTGCAGTTTTCACCCTCCGTTGGTTAAAACTTAACCCAGGCAATTTTTCAGTGTAATGCTGATATTGATGAAAAATTATATTCAATAGAAAAAAGTTATGCATCGGAACTAAACTTTTCTGAACAAGGGACAATATTTTACTTTGATACCTGGAGGGCTTTGGTATGCACAAGCACCTTCAGTGTTTTTGAATGAATATGGTTCCTCAATATTTTCATTGCTAAATTTGCATTTTATTGCTTTCAGATGGCTAAAAAGTAACTTTGGGGAAAAGTTAATGACGTCCGTATATGGATTCTTTCAAATTAAAAAAAAAGGTAAAATTGTGCAATTTGTTGCCCCTTTGGGATATTGAAGTATAATATTCCTGATAACAAGCTATCTTTTTTTTTTGCATAACATGTTTTTTACTTTAAATTTCATGTGAATTTTGCTTTCTTTGTTTCATCTTTGATTGATGCACCAAACTGAAGGTGCACCTGAGAAATTTTGTTGTATTTCAATATTCTTAATGTGATGGCATTCTATGCATAAAATATTAATAGGCCAAAATCTGAGTAGATCAATTATTTTTTAAGGGATGTAGTCTATCATTGTTAACACATGCATTTGACATCAAACCACCAATTTTTGTAATTTTTCAATGACATTTTTATTACCATTCTCTAAATTTTCTTTACCTCTGTCTTGGGTGTGTACAAAATTATTTTGAAATTAGAGGATTCAAAACTGTTAGGGTCAGTGGTTAAACAGCTTTTAAAGTGGCGCAGTAACAAATTGTGTTGAAATTTTTCCCAATTTTCTTTTTTATGAAACAGATGACTTTAGTTGCATTTTTGGGGAAATAGCATTTTCCTTAGGATTTATCCAAGCCAGTACTTTTTTGCCAGAATATTTCCAAATGCTACTGTGAAACAATTGACTCTCATATCTGACTCAAAGAAATTGAAAAAAATATTTACGTGTGAGATGATTTTCTCTCATATTTTGGGAGTTTTCCTTTCCTCCCTTGATTTTGTTTTGTTTCCTTGTTGCTCTTTTTTTCTTCAAACTTTGAACTGACTTTAAAAAGAAAAAAAAGAAGGAAGAAACCATATTTTGAAGTATAAAAGGTGAATACACTATTAGAGATAAATGGGCCCTGTACATGAAGATCTTCTGGAGACAGTGTCTTTTGAGAGATGTAAGTGAAAGTTGCTGAGATCGCAGTAAACTGTGGCAATAACGGCTCCCCATGAATCTCCAGGATTGTGGTGAAAGCAGATTGAGAACCTCCAAGTAGTAGTGACAGCTCATCATAGTGCTGTCTCTCCACCAGTAGCAAATGGAGACCTGTGACAGTTGGTCTCCATGACATCTCTCTACCCAGTAGCAAATGGAGACCTGTGACAGTTCGTCACCATGACATCTCTCTGCCCATTAGCAAATGGAGACCTGTAACAGTTCGTCACCA